TCTCTTCCGAAAGAGGCAAGGTGGAGTTTTCCCAATGTTGTCTTTTGGTTTGGCTGTTCGCCCATGACTTCGAGACGGAATGGATGGTAGAGAAAGCCGCCTGCTTCGATCTTGGTGGCGAATTTCCCTTTCTGGAAATCGTGTTGGAGGCTAACGTCAACATCCGGGATTGTGGACCCTCGGATGGACACCAGGCCGTGGATCTTCTTCTCGGTCGATGTCATGTCGCCCTTTCCTGCAAACTCTGCAGTGTATTGCTGGCCCCTCCAGGAGAATTCGCTATTTCCGGACAGGGAGTTGGATCCCAGGTCGAACGTGACTCCGGCCTTGCTGTGTTCGAAGGTTTCGATTGGAGTTCCGACCTTGATACTACCAGCGTAGTGCTTTCCACCCTCGGTCCGTCCTGAGAGGTTCAGTTTGTAAACGGCACCGTTCAGGTCAAGGGAGGCTTCGCTTTCCACTTCAATCGGAAGCTCGTGGATATGCTGAATTGCCAGGACGATATTGCGGATCTGGGGGATGCTGGAGGAGATGGTGATCTTGTTATTGATGGAGCCGGATTGGCTGTCAAAATGGTCTTTGGGCGAGCCCTCATAAGAGACGGAGATCTTCTTTTCACCGGAGTTGGCCTGGATGCTCGCGAACCTCCGTTCGAGGTCGGACTGGTAGGAGAGGGATCCTGTGACCTCGTTTTCGGCCAGCCAGTGGCCGTTGGCTTGGATCTTCCCTTGGAGGTCGGTTCTTTCCCTGCTTGTATTCAACTCGCCGTCGATGGAGGCAGTAAGTTGGTTCTTGCCGAACATGCCCACTTCGATCTGAAATCGGAATGGTTGGTTGCATTTCCTGTGGAGAGCAGCTAATCAGTTTTTGTGCTGGCGGCGGTTGCATTGATTGGAATATTTTGTTGCAGCAAATGTTGCGCGCTGGAAGTTTTTGTATTGCATAAATCGATTTAATTTGCATGATCGATTAGGTTCATCTCGTGCAATCATGCTTCGGCTTGTGTGTGAATGGTAGGCTTATAATGATTAGACTTTTATGTATATTTCGGGTGGTGCAAAAGAAACGCGTCATGTTTGAAGTTAAATGAGACCTACTTGAAAAAGGGGCAGATTCGATTATTTTTATATTAAACAAAAACCTTTAAAACTAATGGAAATTCTCAAGTTCCTAATTTGTTGAGGTAAAACGGAAAAGTCGACTAAATGTCGCTCATAATTGTTTTTATTATCCACGTATTGGGAAGTAGTGGGTTCAGGAACGCCCTTCCGATTTGTCCATTTTTTCGTCTAGGAACTAGCTTCTTATGACTGCATTCATATTTTATTGTTCTTGACTGTTTTATCATTGTGTCGTTACTTACTACGGAAAATATACTTCGTCAAAGGGATGAGTTTAAAGGAAAGGCTAGAGAGGGAGGAGACTCCAAAGAACACAGTCCAAGATTTTATTGGAAGCTCTCTCTTTTCTATTACTCTCTTTCCTTACTACTTCTTTCTTCGCCAGTCCTTAAACTCTTAACACTCCATGAAATTCATCTTCTCACCTAAGGTCTGAAGAGTCTACATTAACAAAAATTCCATGACGAGGTTACAGTGTTATTAATCAATAAATGAAATATTCAAACCTTCTAAGAGGATAGATCATTATTGCGGTGCAGGAGCTGCATCCACCTCACGCATGAAAAGTTTTAATTATGTGATTGCCCTTGGAATGATCCTAGCTTGTTTGGCCAGACAACTGAGGCACGTGAAACTTTAAGGAAACAAGTTTTTTAATGTTTAAAATGTGATCCAAAAAGAAATTTATCAACCTCGATTTTCAACACATCTTAAAACAGGCAAGCTTTTTCCCGCACCAACCGATATATTGGTGTTATTTTTCCAAATCATTTGATGACTTCACTGAAACTCATTAGTCTCATTTTACTCCTTGACTGTATCACATTATCATCAAATTTTGCATTATTTCAACCATAAATATTTAAATAAATAAATCCATTTTTCCACTTTAAGAAATTATTAGCTCTTTGACTTGTCTTCCTTTTCATGGAACGGGATAGTAATGTAATGTTTTCGCAGTTTTGTCTCGTTCCATTAAAAATCTCTCAACGTTATTCCGTCATTTTGCAGGAATGTTACTGTATCAATAGTTGAAAATTCCTTGCACCACTCACCTTGGCTTCGAGACGAGGGAATCCGACAGAATATTGAAGATACATTTCCGTTTTCTCATATCCAACGAAAGGTGTAGAGAGCCGAGCTCCCACTTTTCCTGTGTTCCCTCCTCCAGCGAGATAATCCACTTCCAAGATGACTGCCCTCTCGGGGTTCCACGACAGTTCCAACTTCCCGTACTTGTTCACGTCACTGCGGAGGGAAACATCCATTATGAGTTCTGAGATCGAACTGGCTTTGGGGAAAGTCCAAAAGAAAGTAGTGAATCTTACTCGATAGCGGCGACGAGGACCACGACTCGTCCGGGATATTCCACATCAATTCGGGCGCCGTTCTTCTCCACCTTGAATCGAGTCTCGAATTTCTTGCTGGGATCCCCTTCTCGGTCCCACATGGTGTTGAACTTGGCCGTCATCACTTCTGTATTCCGGTTATCGATCTCGAAGTGAGCCGTCACGATCTTGCCTCCTCGAAGTTCGACGTCGAAGGTGGCATCCTGTTGT